TAACCCAACCCAGAAACTCCCTTACAGATATACCCAGAGGTTGGTTTCCATGGTGTCTCTAAACCCAGCCTCACATTCAAGGTTAACCATAGTGTCCTGTGTCTCCATTGTGAACGAAGACCTGAACCTTTCATTTCACTTCCTGTAAAGGATTCACAGGGCCACAGGTGGCCGGAAGCCGACATGATGAGTGGTGTCTCGCCATGGAGACCTGGATATTTCAGCGGGTGGACAGGCTCTTCTCGGGCAGGTGCAGTGGGCTCCAGGAACCCTTACTGATTGAGTCCCGCTGGCCCAGGAAGAACAGACTCTGGCCTTCAAATGTTTCAACTTCCCATGCCCTTGCTCCTAATGCCCTGACTTCTCTAGATCTAAGGAGTGTGCTGTATAGCAAATCATAGGATAACACGTGGCTCACACGCTCCAGGAAAGGAAGGTCAGTAGAAAACAGCTGTTTTGAGGATGTGAGCCTCCGTGCCCACTGCCTCCCCATGAGAGGTGGATCTCAGAAAACTGTGAGTGAGGGGTGTTTCTTCTAAGGAGGGTTAGGCTCCAGGGACATTGTATTCTATGGTGAAGGGCCACGTGTGCTCAGACCCAGCGTCAGAAAAGAAACAAACCACACGCGGCTCGGGCCTGCTGCTCTGGCAAGCGTTGGCTCTGAAGGCAGCTGGCCATTGCTGTTGGTTTCTTCTGACACTTCCTTCCCTTTTTAAAAGGAAAAAGAAAAGAAAGGAAAGCTGTTGTGTCACCGCTAGAATTCTGAGGACTGAAGAGTCAATTCCATTGCCTGGTTGTGTTGGAAGGAAGCCACATTTGTTTTGTACTTAGTACACAAAGCGACAGGCTTCCTCGGGGGCTTTCATGCATGCTCAGTCTTGGTTGATCCCTGCCCCCATCTGCTTCTCTCCCTGATTCCCAGCCCCGATCCCTAATTTTACCCTTCTACCCTGAGCCTCCCTTCCATTTCTGTGTCCCCTTTAGTCTCTCCCGTGGGCCTCTTTCCAGTTTCCTGGCCTCTGCCCATACACCATCCCATATAAATACACACATATAGAAATTCAACAGCAGGACCCTAATATGACAGAGAACTGCAGTATTTGCCTTTCTGAATCTGGGTTTATGTTCACAGAAGCAGGGAAGCCACAGAACACACTCTCATTTACACACATGGATACACTTACACACTATTCACACTTACATGCACACACATACACTTACCCACACATACACGTACATATACACACAATCACACATATATACAATCACACACACACCCATTCCCACATACATATATTTCTTCACCCACCCACACACACACACACACACACACACACACACACACACACACACACCTCCACAGACCTGGATAGAGAGCTTCTTCTAACCACATCCCAGCCCCTAAATGGAAAGCTCCACTTGGGAGGCCCCGGGGGAAGCCTGCAGCCTGATCAAATCAGGCCTGGAGTTTGTACAGCACAAATCACTACAGGCGAAGTTGATTGCTTTTCGCAGAGCGGGTGAAGGGATGGATTGATACACTGCCTTGTGAAATGTTGCACAATTAATCCCCAATCAGCTCAGTGATGTCAGAGTCTCTTGGGCTGGAGATCAGCGGAAGGGCTGGGGAATCCAGATGAGGTGAGGATAGGTCATGGCAAGCAAGCTGAGGTGGCACAGGGTAGCGGGTGGCCTGGCTGTGTGTGGTGGACACACGGGGAGAGGGGCACACGCGGGGCACAGTGCTTGCGCCCTCCCCTCGAGGATCCCCAGTGTTCAGCCCTCCTCCCATCCTGAACACTGTTCCCGCCCCGTGGTCACACACCTCTCCACCCCCTCACAGCCCCTGGCAACTCAGCATCACCCAGGAGAAATCTAGAATCGATCCTCCAGGCCCTCTGCACCCAGGAGCCACTGTCCCTGAGGATGGGACAACCCTGACCCACCTGCCCCCTAGAACCTGGATGCCACCCTTGTTCCTTGCAAATGTGTCCATTTCTTACGGCCGGCGCCATTGCCTCGGCCCTACCCCACCCACTGCCTTTTCCAGACCCGTCCTTGTACCTTCGCTGCTCTCTGATCCTGTCCTTTGGCCACACTGTTGCCAGAGTGAGGCCCAGGATACAAGCGTGACCATCACGTTTCTTAGCTTCCCGCTGATCCTAAATAGGGGACAAAGCCACCTCCTTGCTGTCACTGCTGGTGACCTGACCATAGTAACCAGCTCAGTGCATCTGTCCATCTTCATACTTCCTCAGCACTGTCTCACCTGGTCCGGGAGCCTGCAGTATGTTTGCACGAATGCTGGGCTCGGAGACTGATCCAGGCAACCCACTGTCACACTAGCTCTCATCCCTCATGGCCACACTGAGAGAAGCCTGGAATGACGGGAAGTCTCTGAGCTGTCGAGTGGTTGGGATATCCAAGTTAGACCTCCTGCCGTACAGCATCCACCTCCCTGCCGGGACACATTGCTGTGTGTCCCTTCCCCCATGGGGACAGGAATCAGTCACTCAACACAAGCGTGTCTCTCTTGAAATCAAAGCTGAACAAACCCTTTGAGTGTTAACACATCAGAGTCTCATCTCGTGTGTATCAGAAGTCCTCATCTTACTGTGTACCACAAATGAAAATGAAATATTTACTCTCCCTGTCTTTGCCCATGCCCTGGATAGGAAAGAGGCTGCTCGATTTTACCCAGAAGCCTTAGTAAGATTCCCAAAGGCCTTGGTCAGAAAGACAGACGGTATGACAGCCATAGAACTGACAGGCTGATGGAGGCTCGCACCCTGGGCCTCCTGTCTTCTCCCCACATGAGGAGGCTCACCTTGTCAGGGTGCAATCATGGCTTGCCTCCCTCTTATCCACACTCCTAACTTCATATCTCTCTGCCGCCGGTGAGACAAGAGACACTGGATCATGGTGAGAGCTAAGGGACAGAGAGACATCTTACAACCATCCCGAGGTTCCGAGTGAGGCCTGGGGCTCCTCTATTTTAAGTGACTAAGCCCAGTAGTTGTGCTCCTATTTTTCTTTTACACTTCGTTTTGGTTGTCCAGTGATCCCAGGCAGGGCTGTGTAGACAGGCTGTTGACAATAGGAGCTGGGATGTCTGGAGAGGGTATCCATGATCACTTCTTCTTTTCCACTTTCCGCTTTCATGGGCTGGGTATATCGGGTGTTTGGCAAATTCCCAAGAAGGCACTGGAGGGGGGTGTGATGCCAAAAGTCAGTCTTGTGCACTTCAGGTTTGAAGAGGAGTAAATAGTGAAGGGATGAAGGCAGCAGCCTTTTATTTCAAAGGGACAGGAGAAATTCTTTCAGCCATCCATCTCTCCCTCCACTCACGACGTGAGTCAAACAAAGAAACTGCCCAAGAGAAGCCTGGATCCCACGAGGGAGAGAGATAACAGAGAGCCACAGGCGGCTGCTTGTTTTATTGCTAACCAAACACTTCCAGGAAAAAAAAAACATATCCAAGCAAAAATCAGCCTGGTAAGAAATGGGTGATTAAAAAAAAAAAAAAAATCCTAATCACAAAACCAAAACATAGCATCTTGAAAACCAGGAAAGCCAAGGAAGAATATTGCCTTCTTAGTAATAAATACATTTTGTGGGCAAGAACTGCAAGGGAATCGTTTAAATTAATTTCCGCTTTGTTTGTTTGGTTTGTACAGGGCGCAAATCCCAGCTGACAGCGATCTGTAAAAGTTCTAACATATTGGAAATCTGATTTTCTTGCAGCCTGAATCCCAGAGTCCAAAATGATTTCTCTTTCAACTCTGCTAATCAGACAGGCAGGGCTCAAATGGACGCTGAGTCTAGCCATTTTGCACTTGCTCTTTCTGGGGGGGTATAGAAGATGTCTGACAGACACCCCAAGGGGATGTCTCCTCTCTGGAGTGCTGCTGTGGGAAGGGGCCTTGTAAGGGGAGATGGGGACAGTCCTTCAGTGTTCTGGGTAACCCTGCCAGCTCTTCCTTCTCTCTCCTCTCCATCCTTTCTGGATGGTGTACCTTCACAAAGCGGAACTCTGAGGATGAAGAAATGGGAGGTCGGTAAATATAGAATTAGAGGCCAAAAGCAAAGACTTTGGCGCAAATTCTGAGGTGGACCCCGTCGCTAAGCATTCTGAGATGTATGTGGCTTGGCATCTTTCTCTCCCATGCAAATTTCCAGAGGGTTCCAATGAATAGACCACCTTGGGTCCCCTCACATTTCCCCAGCATGCTTACCCCTGAGAACCAAGCTCTGTATGTAGATAAGCTGCCCCCTCCCACCACCCAGAAAGGGGCTTCAGTGCAGCCCACCCACCAGGCAATTCCACCTGGGTAGCCCCGATGATAGGCACCTGAGAACTGACCATCCCTCCAGCTCATCCTCGAACCTGAGTGGCTCCACCGTCCTTCTCCAACCAAGTCTATCTACAATAAATACAAAAAGCAAGCAAGAAAGAAAAACATAGGAACAAACCAACCAACCCTTGTTCAAAAATAAAAGTAGGCTCTATGGCAGGTGGTTCCCCTATACCCACAGGTGCACCTTGTTGTGCCCAATTTTGTTCCTATCAGCACTGAACTCATATCAACAAAGGATGCCTCTTTTGGAGCAGTATGGAGTGTGTGTGTGTACATGTGTGTGGCGCGTGCATGCACAAGCATGCATGCACGTCAATGTGTGTGTGTGTGTTGTTGTTGTTTTAAATCCACAAAGTAACCTTCAGTACCTCCCATATACCCAAGGATCTCAGCCTAGCCTAGAGCAATGGGCGTCGTGACTTGAGCCCCTGAATGCTGCATGGCAGTTCCGAGTTCTCAGGTGCCTGTAGTCCCACTGGAATGTCCCACAATCATCTTAGACCCTACCCCTGGAGTCCACCCTGTGCCCCAGTCTCCCCAGGTCTGCCAAGAATGGTATGGCCCTTCTTGCTCCTTCTCTGTTGCATTGTCTTCCTTCCTTCCCTCTTTCCAACTGAATTCTCGTTTTTCCTCTCTCCCTAGTGCTTGTACGGCTGCTATGTCCATTCCTCCATCATCCCCACTTTCCACCGGAGGTGCTACTGGCTCCTTCAGGTAGGTGGCTGGGACTGGATTCTTCTTGCGTCGCCGATGCTTGGGAAGGGTCCATGGAGGGTGCTGAGGGGGCATGGGGCTCCTGCGTGTGACAGAGGCTTTGGGCTGAGGGCCCTGGTGCACTTTCCTAGTTTTCAGCAGTATGTGTCAAATCTGTTTGGTGACTGGTCTGATGATGAGGTTCCAGAAAGGAGAGAAAGAGAGAGAGCTGGTGGCCGGGCTACACCTTGTTCATCCAGGGAGAAAAGGAATAGATGCTTCAAGGTGCCAAGGTCCACGGCTTCCTGTTGATGTGGATAAAAGACAAAACTGAGTGTCCTGCCCCTTGCTATAAAATTCCTCTCCTCCGCTACTAGCCATATGCCCATTTGCTCTCTTGGTTACTCAGAAGGTGGGAAACAGGCTTCCAGGAGTGTTCTCCTGGGATTGACTGGGATGCCTGCTGGAGAGGAATAGGTCTTGACTCCTTGGGAAGGAGCTCTATGATTGATTTGTAATGCCTGCCTTAAAGATGAAGGTGGTGTGGAAGCATCTGCCATGCTTGTGGAGGGTGGCCTCTGTCCATGGTGCTGGCTAGACGGCCTGTGTCTATGGTTATGGATAAACAGTCCACAGTGAAGCTAGGCGGCTTCTGTCCTTGGTGCTGGATGGGCAGCTTCTGTCCGGGGCAGCTTCTGTTCATGGTGCTGGATGGGCGAGTTCTGTCCGTGGTGCTGGATGGGCAGCTTCTGTCCATGGTACTGGGTGGCAGCTTCTGTCCATGGTACTGGGTGGCAGCTTCTGTCCATGGTACTGGGTGGCAGCTTCTGTCAAAGGTACTGGGTGGGCAGCTTCTGTCCGTGGTGCTAGCACAGTAGATCTAAACAGAGAAGCCCAGGCAAGTATGGTACTGGGAGGGGTGAGGTGCTGAGCTAGCCCTCTGCTGTACCATTTCCCTTTGAGGACCCAACCCAATGAGCCTGTCACCATTCCCCTTACACACAACATTGTCCTACTACCTCTGTCCAGAAACTGCTGCTGGGGGACTCATTGTTGTGGTCCAAATGTCTGTGTTCAGTCGTGTTCAAGCTGTCAATCACATGGGGTTTGATGGCCTGGAGGACCTGGGGGCCTGGTTGAGGGGAAACTGACAGAGGGGAAGCAAACATCAAGCATCCTCTGTGGGTGCAGGAAGAAAGGCTCAAAGAGAACTGGGGCAGAGAGGCCACTATACCAGTGACAGTAGCCTGGGGGTGTCCATGGGGCTTGGAGATGTCTGGATATGAAGGCCGGGGCCTAGCCTTGTCAGGGCCCTTCCACCCTGGTTTGCAGCTGTAGACACCAGCCCCTCTGTTCTCCCTCGGTTCCCAGGATTAATTGTCTGGGCTCGACGCATTCCTTAGACAATGGCATCCTGGCTGACCAGAAGATGAGCTGAGCTACAGAGACTGTGTCCAGCACACCAGGCTCCATTGCCAGTTGTCCTGTCTCTGTCCCTTGGAGGCAGATGTAGGAGTGTCTGTTTTTCTAATTTCTCAGAGCCATGTAATTTTGAGGGTGTTTTACGTGGTCATGAAGAGCTACTTTGATTGGTAGAAATTGCCCTAAAGATACTAAGCCATCAGGCAAGAGTTTCCTCACTAGCAAACTGGCAGCAGAATGTGGGGCCTCTGATTCAAGGACAGCACTCTGGCCTGGCTAGGACACAGTCATGGCTCCCTGGCTCAGGTGCAGGGTTGTAGAAACTTCATTTACTCCAAGCATCCTGCGGCTTTAGTAAATTCCTACCTAGACTTCCAGCCTCCTGACCCTGGCTGTGACTCTTCCTTCTGGTGTCTATTCCCCCAGTTAGAATGCATCTTTGACATGACCCCTGTGCCACATCAGGCTGGGATTCCTAACAGATAAGTTCCCAGGGCATGCTCACTTTCTGCCCACAGAAGGAAGCCACCTGTCCTTTAAAATGGCCTCCTCCTCCATATCTGCTCTGTGCCTTCCTCCACTGCCTCTTCTCAGCCCACTGCACTCTTATGGTTTTTTTAATCCCACTGAACTTCCTCTGCTGGAAGCAGACACCCTTGAACAGCATGAGACCAGAGCTCTCTTGTCCATAGCTGTGTTCTGGTGGCTCCCACATGCTCCTGCAGCAAAAAGGAAAGTCCTGTCCTCTGCCCACTCTTCTCCAGGATTCCATGTCCTGTCCTCTGGGTGCTGAGGACACACCTGGAGTGATCCAGATTCTTGTGTCTGGCTTGTAACACTCCAGCTGACAGGCAGCTAGATGACTCTCCACCCCAGCCCACATCAAAGGCCAGTGTGGCAGGATCACCCAGGCTGCTCTGGGCATCTTCATTTTCCCATCCCATACTGGGGAGAATTGTCAGCCCCATTCCTCACCTCCAGGTTCTCAAACACAGCTCTTCCTACTACTGTGTGATCAGGTTACAGAACAGGGGCTGCACCCAGACCAAGGCCCAGCAATAGGCTGCCCAGGATGAAAAACCCCCAGCAGGGCCAGGTGGCAGGCAATTAGGGAGCTTAGGCCAAGGCAATTAGTGCAAGGCACTCCCTGCCCACTCTGAACCGGGCAGTTCAACAGAAGCTGATGCTGCTCAGGGCAGTTTGTTTTAGTGCTACAATGCCAGGACAATGACATCATGCTCAGGTTTAATTTCTCTGGTGTTAAAGATACTGTGAGACTCTGGTCCAGGTTTGTCTCCAATACCAAGCACCATGAAAGAGGGTTGATGGGCATGAAGGTGTCAGGGGAGTGCCCTGTGAGAGCTGAGAAAGGAAGCTGATGATCAGGATGGCAAGCCAGGCTCTGAGGAGTCGCTGAAGGAAAGGCCGGGTCTTCCAGGAGCGTATAGCCCACCATCTGCTGAGTAACTTGGTAGGAGCAAGGCAGCCTTCAAGAAAGGGTGGGCCTTTCAGGAAAGGTGCAGCGGGAGGCCTCTGGATAAAGAAATTTCCTCAAGGAATACCCCTACCACTGGCCACCATAGCTCATGTCCATCCTCTGATGTCTTCCAAAAGAGGCCACCTCAAAGCCACATAGCACAACAGGGGCTCTATGCCCAGACAAATCCACTGAGTTCTCTTTACCCACAGTGGAGCTCCCCAACAGAAGAACTCCCCACATCTGTCTCCCTCAGTGCCAAACACAGATCCTTGACCAAGGCAGGGCAGGAGCCAACATGTCCTCAAGATTACAGCTTAAGTGAACAAATGCCCCAAATGGCAGCACTGAGCAAGCTGAAGGCCCATGGAAAGAGTGTAGATGAAGTCAGAATTTTTGAGCCAACTGGCTTTCTTCTGGAGGTGCCGCTTTCTGTCCATCTTCTTCATTGCTAATGCCCCTTCTTCATTGCTAATGAAGGTTCTACTTTAGTCCAACCCAAGGCACAAGCAAGCAAGACCTAGAATGTAGGGCGCTAAAGCCTGGTTAGCTCACAGGTGCATCAGGCCATCACTATGACTGATGGGTGTCAGTACTCTAGGAGTCACTGGACATCTCAGGGGTGTTGCAGGGTGTGGCCACTCATCCCCAAAACAGCATCCCAGGCTGTGCTGTGGATCCAGATGGGCTGAATCCCACCCACTCCTCCAAATGGCCAGACCCTGATATTCTGATAACTTGGAGAAGGTCACCTCTGCAGGAAACCCACACACTGTCTTTGTTCCATCCATCCTCAGCCCCTGTGTCAGGGCCAATGGGCCCGAGGCTCCACTAAGCTCAATCACTGCATTTTCTAGGTGGGTCACTGAGGTCCACAGAGACCAGGTCCAGCTCTAGAGTCACACATAAGTCAGGTATGGGGCAGAATAGTGACCCTCTGGCCTTTGCTTCCACTACTTGACTTGACTCTGACTAGCTTCCAGGACTGAGCCTTGCTAGGACTAGAAGCGGTGCTAAGGGACAAACAGAGTTAAACAGAAAGGGTCTCCCCATTCAGGAACTCAAACCTCAGCCTCCCTAGCCTTCATGATTCATCCCTTTGAGCACAGTTTCCCCTGAGAATGAGCCCCATTTCTGGCCATGCTTCCCAGAAGACTGCTGGCTTCTTTGCAAACCATTTCTGCTTCTAATGAGTGTTTTTCTCTTTGCCATTGTTCTCTCAAATGCTTAATGAATGTTTTCCACGCGTAAAGCAGGGGGTGTGCCTTCACACGGCTGCGTGACTGCTCACTTGCAGCCCATGGGGCAGAGGCTGCGAGAATCCTTCCTGGTTCAGCACAGTCCTACAAAAGGCAGAGGCCTGTGTGAAGATAGGACCCTGGGGGCCAGGGAAGAACATAGTACAAAGTGTGGGTTCCCAGTTCACTAAAGAAGAGCCTGCACATTTCAACCCCGAGATCTAGAACCCAGTCCTGGGGGTTGGGGAGCACTGGATTCTGAGCCCAGGGAGCTGTATTCTAGTCCTACCTGGCCTACTGTGCTTTGAGCACTAGCAGCTATACCCACAAAGCTGACCACCATTGGCCACTGCTTCCTGGCCAGGCTGCCAACCTTCACTACATGTTCCTTGTCATTTGGGAGACGCGCTTCAGTCGCTCAGCCACCAGGGGGCAGAATGAAGCAAGATGCCAAGGTCACCTATGGCCATTGTGTCATCATCACTCTCAGAGTACCCCAGGCCATGAATGTGGCCCCCAAAGTGGGAGGGCTGCAGGGTCCTGCACTTTAGCATGTTTTTTCCTACCAGCCCACTAGCCTCTGCCAACCCTACCATCCCAGAAAAAGTGTTTACAGGGTTGTAATCATGGTATTGTTATGACAAAATGCCAAAGGCAACTATCTTATCAGGAAGAAAGGTTTTGTTCTAGTTAGTGCTGTAGCACGAATTCTCTTTGGTCTTAATAATAAAACCTCAGAGCCAGCTATCAGGGGGTGAAAGCTGAAGGATCAGAGAAGCAGAGAGGCCACCCACTAGAGAGTTCTTACTCTGCCAATGCTCAGACCAAAGGGACGATCCTGTCCTCAGACTGCCTGCCTCAGACAGACTGCTCCTCAGTCTGAC